TCAAGAAAGTGAGCCTGCCCTGATCTCTGTATTTTTTTTTCATTGCTGCTTCGTCTGAGCGAAGTGAAATACCATTGGTTGAAAAGTGGGAAAGGCGAGAAAACTGTCAATCTATATTGATGAGGAGTGATTGAATCCCCATGGAGTCGGTAATTTACTGCACTATAAAAAAACAAAGCGTCCACATTTGGAGTCAGAGGAAGCGTTGAGTGTGATGTTTTAACAAAGTTCCCGTCTATTTCTGGTTAAATTTCAAACTAAAGAGGGAGCAGGAAATAGCAGTTGAAAGTATGTTAATGAATCAAGACATACTTGTCCTGTTGCCGACTGCATATGGGAAGGGTTAAATATTACAAATGTATGCGATTGCTAGCAGCAACAAAACAACACGAAGGCGTTTGCCCATTTACAAGCATTGTCAAAGACCAGATTGCCAAAGCAAGATCACCTGGAATCGAGTCTGTGACCTTAGTAGACATAAACTTTGACAGTTTTTCTTCGGCAAAACTTTATCAACAATGGATATCGCACCTACATGTTGATATGAAAAAGATTTACAATTTTCCTGAGAAATCCAAGATGCCAAAAGTCATACTTCCGGTAAAATTAATTGACTTTTCTTTTCTACGGTTTCCGGGGTGGAAATAAAAAATTTGCAGGGATAAAAGCAGGCTCACTTTCTCGTCTAGCCGCTTCGCCGCTCGATTTCACGCTCGCAGTAGCCTGCAAGCAGGCTCACATTTGAGTCACACATGCGAGCGGTGAAGAGCAAAGCGATCCGGCGGGAAGGAGTCTGGTGAAGAGGCGCCAAGAAAGTGAGCCTGGCCTGATCTCCTTAATTTTTTCATTTCTGCTTCTTCTGAGCGAAGTGAAATACCATTGGTCGAAAAGCGGGAAAGGCAAGAAAACTGTCAATCTATTATGTTTGATGAGGAGCAATTAAGAATCCCCATGGAGTCAGTAATTTACTCTGTAATAAAAAACAAGTCATCCACGTTTGGAGTCAGAGGAAGAGTTGAGTGCGTGTATTACTGATGCGTTAACAAAGTTCCAGTCTATTTCTGGTTAAATTTCAAACTAAAGAGGGAGCAGGAAATAGCAGTTGAAAGTATGTTAATGACTCAAGATGTACTTGTCGTGTTGCTGACTACATATGGGAAGAGTTATATATTACAAACCTATGTGATTGCAAGCGGGCAACAAAACAACACAAAGGTGTTTGCCCATTTACCAGCATTGTCAAAAACCAGATTGCCAAAGCAAGATCACTTGGAATCAAGTGTGTGTCCTTAGTAGACCTAAACTTTGATAGTTTTTCTTCGGCAAAACTTTATCAACAACGGATATTGCGCCTACATGTTGTTATGAAAATTTTCCCCGAGAAATCTGAGCTGTCAAAGTTCATACTTCCAGTGAAAATTAATTGACTTATTCTTTTCTGTGGTTTCCAGGGTGGAAATTAAAAAATTGCAGAGATCAGAGCAGGCTCATCTTCTCGTCTTGTGGCTTTGCTGCTCGATTTTGCACTCGAGGCTACGCCACACACACTTGTGCTTCAACGTGACCCTGCTCGCAAGCTAGGTTTCCTTTAATTTGAAAGGAAATTTTTGTCTGTGGCCAAAATAACTCAAAATACTGCAAATAACAGAACCCCATTAAGGAATAACAAAAAAAAAAAACAACAACCAGATGGTCTAACCTTTTCATCAAAATAAATTGAAGCATTGAGGTAAGGTTGGAACTCCTTCACTCCTTTTTGTTCATGAACCACGCCTACAAGGTTTACACCCATCTGGTCTAGTTCAGGTTTCAGAGAGGCAAGCTCCAGGGCTTCCTAAAATGATAAATAAAGTGAAAGCACACACTCAGCTACTGTATGTCAGAAGAAAAAGAAATTGTAAGTACTGCAGCTGGCATAGCAGATATCTGAATGTAATGTTGCTGAATGGTTAGTGGCTACTATTTTCTGTGTGAGAATATGGAACACTTGATTTCTATTCTCATCAGAGACAATACTCCTCATCACCCAGAACCATCAGTACTCCTTCGTCAGTATAAATATTTAACACGATTAAAAACTCCACTTTTCCATTCAGTGCTGTTAAAGATTTCATAACCTGAACCACTACATTATTTAAAATGATACAAAGAAAACAAATCAGCTGAATAAACATTATTTTGTAAAGTGGTGTAAGTAATAATTTTGCAAACTTTTGTACCTCTCTGCACATCTGTCATCCTGGCCTTCTGACCACCATTATGACTGCTCCAGCTTTGCTCCACAGCTCAGATGCCATCACTTCTTTACCAGTACCATCTAATGCCTTCAGTTTAATGGAACTCAAGTACGCTAAATCAGGTCTTGGACTGTTCTTGTACCAATCCCAGTTAGCAATAATAACACCTGCCAGAGCCGCTACCCCTCCTGCACCAAGAAACCATGCCATCTTACATCAAATGCAACCTGCAGTACATAATCAAAAATAATGATTTACCTGTCGTACATTATAAATGAGTTTTAGACAACACCCAGTTTGAGACTTGACTACAAAGAAGCTGTAGTAAATTATTCAAATCCCCTTCATAGACACTTTGAAAATGCAAAAAATGGCTGCCATTTTATAACAGCCACACACTGCTAGGCTTCTCACTATCTACAACTTACAGAAAATATAGTGAGTAGCATAGCCAATTCTCTTCCTCTCAGTGTTTTACTTTCAAAATTAAAAAAAAAAAAATGGAAATAATTTTCTGTGTCTTCACAAAGTATTAACTGACTAGATGACCAGATCGCTGCCTACGCATCATAGCGGAGCAGTCACAGTGGAGTGGAACTTCACCCTCTACAGAGTACATCAACTACACAGAGTTGAGAAGGCATTTAATATTGTGGGTAGAGAGACACCGTGGAAACTGATAAGGCACTACAGCGTACCCAAGAAGCTTACAGGATCTCCCTAATCCAGTGCACATACCAAGGCATGACATGCAGGGTTAGTTCGTGCCAGCCAGATGTCAGACAGTTCTGAGGTGAAGACCAGAGTCTGTCAGGGGTGCCTCCTGTCACCATTCCTGTTCCTCCATGCCATTGTTCTTATTGACTGGCTGATGAAGACCACCACAGCAGGAAGAAACACTGAGATACAGCGGACACTCTGGACAGAGTTAGATGACCTCCACTTCGCAGATGACCTGGTGCTCTTCTCACACAACTGCAACCAGATGCAGGATAAGTCTATACACCTGGCAACAACATCAGTAGCACCTGGGCTCAGGGAACAAGAAGAAGACGGGGCTGATGAAGATCAACACTATTGCTAACATGCCAGTCACAGTGGATAGAGAGCCAATCAAGGAGGTTGAGTCCTTTCTGTATCTAGGGAGGGTGATCAACAGGCAGGGGCGCACCGACCAAGACGTCACAGCCAGGATTTGCAAAGCTTGAGCAGCCTTTGCCATGCTGAAGAACATTTGGGCCTCAAAGAAGATCAACATTGCCACAAACTTCACATCTTCAATTCAGACGTCAATGGGGTCCTGTTCTATAGCTCAGAGACCTGAAGAATGATCACAGTGATGTTGAAGAAGATACAGACATTTATCAACACCTGTCTGAAACGTATCTTCAGGATCAAGTGGCAGGACAAGATCAGCAATGAGAAGCTACATGGCGAAGAGCAGGACAGGAACCAGTCACCCAGCAGACCCTACAAAACAAGTGGGGATGGATTGGACAAACACTCAGGAGGCCAACATCTAACATCACTCGCCAGGCACTGACTTGGAACTTGCCGGGGAAGAGGAAGAGGGGCTGCCCAGAAATAGCTGGAGGCGTGAGATGGAGTCAGAACTAAAGAGAAGTGTCACCACCTGGGCTGACGCAGGAAGGACAGCCCAGAGTCAAGTGAGATGGAGGAGATGATGGCCTACATGTATGCTCCACCTGGAGTGAGTGGCCTAAGTAAGTAGGTAAGCGATAAAGTACTAATTATATTACACACTTGGCAGGTTGGGCTCACCATCAGCACCAAAAAGACCAAAGTGATGTTTCAGCCAGCTCCAGGAAACCAGTATCACGAGCCGCAGATATCAGTGAATGGACAGACCCTTCAAGCGACAGAGACCTTAACCTACCTGAGCATCACCCTCTCCTGCAACGCCAACATTGATGCCGAGATCAACAACAGAATCTCCAAAGCAAGTAGCACCTTTGGGAGACTGAGGGAGAAAGTCTGGGAGAGGAGAGGAATTAGCCTTGAAACCAAGTTGAAAGTCTACTCGGCAGTTGTCCACACCACCCTCCCCTACGGCTCTGAAACCTGGACCGCATATATTAGACGACATGAAAAACAATTAAAGCACTTCCATCTAAGATCCCTCCAAACCCTTCTCCACATCTGCTGGCAGGACAAAGCACCTGACATGGAGGTCCTGAAGCAGACAAACTTCCCCTGCATCATTACCATCATGCGCAAGGCCCAGCTGAGATGGGCAGGCCACGTCTCTCGCATGCCAGACAATCACATTCCAAAGCAGCTTCTCTACGCTGAACTCTGTCAGGGCAAGCGCACAGTTGGAGGGCAAACAAAACTTTTCAAGGACAGCCTGAGGGTCTCCCTGAAAGACTTTTACATCAGCAGTGACTCCTGGGAGTCACTCACTTCAGACAGACCCTGGCACCATCACATCATCAAAGGAGCCCACGCAGCAGAGGAGCACAGGTCCCTTCAAGCTGAGCAGAAATGGGCAACACGCAAGGTTAGAGCCACCAGCGCCAACAGTACAGCACCTACATGTACCCACTTCTGCCCTGCCTGCGGGAGAGGCTTCCTTGCCCGGTTTGGCCTCATCATCCAGCTATGGACACACTGTACCAGCTCAACAGCCAACTAGATGTCATGGTCATCTTCGACTATGAAGGATGAACAACACAACAATTACATTACACACTTAGCAGGTTGTATTGGAATCTCCAGGACATGCAGTCAATTTTAAGACAGAATATTTACAAAAGACGGGGAGAATTAACAACAGCTGAGGTCCATAGCAAATTTAAAAGTATTCTATTCATAATCATTCCACCAACATTTATAAGAGACCATTTATAATTATTCCACCTACATTTATAACAGAGAGAGACACAAATATGATAAATATTCAATGCAACTAGTGAGAGAACAAGGGAATAGGCTAAATATTGAGCTCTAATCAACCTAGAGACAGAAAACCAAATTGACATACATGTAAGCAACAGTTTTTCAGTGAGACAAGACAAGCTCTGGACATAAAACTAACATAAAAGCCATAAGAAGCTGCAGTGGTACAGTCTGACTGTCTAAATTAGATTGATCAAGACTAAATGTGCTTCCAGAAACAACACACCTTGCAATGTTAAACAAACACAAGTATGTACTGTATCACTCAAGCAAGACATCTCTTGACACATATCTTGCAATAGAAATAAGCATAATCTTTCTATCAGCATAAATAGTAAGAGGTATTTAACTCAACAAGGCCAAAAAACATTGAATTTAAGTCATGAAGAAACTTTGACCTTTACCAAGTTCAACACAATGTTGTGAAGAGCAGTACTTCAGAGGACACAAATTTAGTAGAGAAATGCAAATATACATGTAATGCCAGTAGGCCATAACCTGTACAAAAGTCACATGCCAGTGTTTAAGCACTTATACCCCTACCAACTCTCCTAGAGTACCCAGGAATACCCAGGAGTACCCACCAAGGCTCACACACGTGCACAAGCCCACACCAATCAGTCACAGGTGACTTGATGACAGTTATTCAAAGCGTTCTGCTATGTCAAGCCAGGCCATGCTATGAGCAGCCTGCTGGGAAATTCACCATTCACCATTAATGAGCCTTTTGACCCTTACGTTCACCTTAACCATCCCAGGATTTACAACTGGATTCCACAACCAATCCAACCTGTTTACGGGTGCAAATTGAACATTCAAAAACAGAATCAGACCCTTTCTTGCCAAGGCTGATTCATCTACTGGGTCAATATCCACGTCAATCTGCCCCATTGCTGCAACTATAGAATATCTGCACCTTCAATTGGCCTGGTATCTGGTCTTCTCTTTCTCTATGATCAACCAATGATGCTAGCTCAGCTGTCTAATTTTCTTCAATCTACTTTGCCTGCTGCAGGGGTCACCAGATCCTTTTCAGGCCACAGTTCCCGCATTGGGACAGACACCACAGCAACTCAGCAGGGTCTCCATGCTCATTCAAACAAGACCGTAGTTTGATGGTCCAGTGATGCCTATCAGTTGTACGGTATATCAGGACTCCTGTGTAATCTATCCTTGCCACATAAATTTGTCAAGCTACTTTAGCTGGTATGTATGGGTCACTGATTTCACTCAAAGTGTTAATGTTATGAGACTTAATGGTTCTCTATCAGCCAGCCATCGGGGCTCATGCCTGGGCTATGGGTATTGCCAGCCATGGGCAAATTTTACTGTCTACAGGTTGGCTGATCTCAGCGGAGACCCCCAGACATTCCACGCACCTATTTTCTAAACAGCTTAATGCTGCTGTGAAATGCAGTTAAACGCAATTTAACTAAATTGACACTGAAGAGAAGCTGGCATTCGACAGGTGGTCAGCAGCTTCATTATAGTAGAGTGGCATAGGTTACTTTGACTTTGTTTTTCTGCACCTCCCTCTCCATCCCCCTTTCTACTGTTATTTCAGTGTGACTATGTGTTGGGGCTCAAGGTTGGGCTGCGGGGATTACCAGCCATGGGAGCATTTTACTGTCTAGCTCGGGGCCAGCTGATCTCAGTGGAAGATCCCGGACATTCTGGGTACCCATGTTTCATACAGCTTGACGCAGTTGTTAATTTTTTTTTAAGGTCAGTATCATTGCACTTGACATACAATTGCATCATGCATGCATTGCAAAAGTGTCTCGCCCTTCGTTATCCTATATAATTAAGCTTAAATAAACAAACAACCAAAGCAAGCCCCCTTAAAGTTGCCAAAACCTTCTTTGCACTTACCTTAATTTTGTTCAAGAAAATTTTAAACACCACCGTAACGTTGAAATTTTGGACGTGTAGACTGTCCTCCCAATGCGTGCAATGGCTGGGGATATAGAATAATATATGAAAGCGTCAACGCAATATAAGCTTAGCTAAGTCTTAAGTACAAGTGCTCAAGTTATCATCAGCTGTTCAGTTGCAGCTTGCAAGTTACCTGAAAAGATCCAGGACGAAAGTCTATTGGAAATGTATAGATGTATGACGAAATAGTCTTTGACCTTTGAAGGAACGTTGTACTATCACCAAATGTACATGTCAACCAGCAAAACCACCGCCAATTAACTATCCAAAACCTTCCCCTCCACCTTCCATTCGACACACTTCCATCGGAAGAGCTACATTCCACCGTGGACAAAGGACCAATCGAAACGCCCAAAATTCACAACCATTGTTTTCTAGCCCAATCAGACTACGTCTAGCTCCAATGCATTGTGGGATGATTTTCTTTCGCTGGCAAAAGCGCGTGATTTTGAACAACAAGATGTCTGCAAAGTGGAGTAAATTGGGTGTCTTTACTACGTGATTTTTATGGGATTTTGGCATGGAACAGACGCTTGGTTTGGACGCTGTTTAAGATCGATGTATCTTGCAGGTAATTAGTGGTTGTTCAAGTGTCGTGTCTCTCGAAGGACTGTTAATCGTGAGGGAATACGTAGTGTTTCGCCTAGCGACCATGCTCAGTGGCGAAAGTGTTACGTTTCTTTTTGCGATTATCATGTTAGAGTCTTTTTACCAGAGACTTTAACTTGGAATATTATGTATTTAACTTCATAATAAATCGCCTGAATGTATGTGTTTATTTTAAGACTTGAATAACTGCCTACAACGCTGCAAAAAATTCATGTTTTATTAGTAAACTTTGAATCTCGATTATGCTTATTCCCTTTTGTCGTCAGTTCTTTTTGTTGCATTAGCCGGCGGCCTTCCCGTTGCGTCCGTAACTGTTATACAATGACTGAATTGCTACGTTTTTTTTTTAAAGACAAGCAGAGTTAATATTTGGGAGTATCAAATGCATCAACTGTTTACAAAATTATATTTGCCTGATCGGGAAATTGCGATTCTCGCATGGTGGGTTTTTATAGAGTGAAATGTCTGCCATTCTTTACATGCTGCAGTTGTAACGACGTCGATCTCAATTTGATATATATTGCACATAATATCTCGAACAACCATCTTAGGAGCAGTAAAGTTTATCATATTTAACTAGCCTGTTTTCGAGAATAATAAGTTCAAAGCTATTTAGATTATGCACACTCTTACAACTAGTAGTCAGTATATGTTGGGGACAATAAAATCCGTATTTTTTTTTTGCGAGTCAAACGTCGCACTTTCCCTAGGAAGTGAAATCAATCATGTACACATTCCAGCCAAGTGTGTTAAAATAGTGCTAAATGATTCTACAATTAACAGCAGATAACTCGCCGAGTTCGACTTCAGCTAAGGGCAACGGATTATGAGTTGTATTTGTTAGAACTCTGACCTTCGTTTAAACTTGTATGTAAACAATGTAACTTAACCTGTTCTTTTCGTTCTTTTAGTCACACCAGGCAGACCTTTGTCTTCTTTTTCAAATCTAGCCAAATGCAACCTTGTATTTAAAGTTTTGAAGTTAATATAGATTAAATGATCTAGAAAATAAATGGATCATACATGTACATCACTCAATCTTGGAAATCAGGAGAATCCTATGATTATGTTCAGGTGACCTTCAATAACAGATGGTTTCATGGTAATGCTCTTGTCACAACTTCCACTCCCCTTTCCATTTTTGCTGGACAATGCCACGTTGTACGTACACAGTGCTTCAGCATTCTGTATTTCAGTACTGCTGTGACTTAAGTATTTAAAATTGTAACTTGGCAAAAACAATTGCAAGAAACAGTTGAGAAAATGAATCAAACCTTGCCTAGTTATCTTAAATGTTTGTGTTATTTTCTCAAACAGGGAACTTTTATCTTTTATGGAGAAAATAATTACAGTCAAGCAAGAACCAATTGATGATGCATACCCAACACCACCATCAACCACAGTGACGGCAACATCAACAATCAGTACTACAACAACAGCTCAAAATGTAACAACTAAAGTTACTACTGTAGCAACGCTGTCCACAGGAACCGCAACAACAGTGGCAGCGACTGCAATAACTGCATCACCTGAAACTCAGATATTCTTTATACAACAGCCTAAACCAGAAGCTCAAAAACCACAATGTACAGGAACAGGTACACAAGGTTGGTGTGAAGATCCAGATACTTTACGTCCCATGCTTATGGATTTGAATGCTCTTTAATGATATGCCTATCTTTCATAATGTCTCTTTGAGATACTGGTGGCTTATCAAGATGTTCTTTTCTTTCATTTTCATCCTTGTCAGTGTCTTGTTGACAATATAATGTGCTCATGTTTATTAAAGGTGGCTTACTATAGTTCTTTCTGGCACTCAGTAATAGTAAAGTTGGAAGTTAAGCTGTTTTACCTCCTCAAAACTGTAGTAAGCTACCTTAATGTTTTTATTTAGGAAACAAAACAGGTGTTGATCACTCAAGACTTTGGCAAAGCAGAGTAGCTCTGGAAAGCTCCAAATAAATTGTAAATTGGTTATGAAATGATCCAAACTGTTATGTTGAGGCTTTTTCATGAATTACCAGCAGAGTTATTAGTCAACGTGACATTTCTACTGTAAGTAAAGGTATACGACATGAACCTACTGTGACAGATTTTTAAAATTAACAGGAAAAAGGCAAATAATGAAAAGGGCAGCTTGTCACCTTATCGGACTATTTACCTTCTCGAAGTACAGTGTTTTTTTTATATAAACTGCCGTGTCTCAAACAGGTACTTCTGTAGCAACAGCGACAGCCAGGACAGTGACAACAGGTGCGCAGTCAAAACCACCTTTAGTTGTCATCTCAGGTAGCCCCATCAAGTTGACTCCCTTGTCAAGGACAGGTGCTGCTTTGACAAGTGGGCAGGCAAACTCTGGTGCAGCAGGCAATATTACATGTACTTTAGTTCATGTGCAACCATTTAATGCTGCAGCCAAGCAGCACATTGCACCCAAATCTGGTGGCTCTCCAAACAAACAAACTCTTCCAGTGCAGCTTCAAAAATTGGTTCCCATAAGTGTTGCAACTACAAGTCTTGGAAAGATTCAAACAGGAACAGCACCTCAGTTCACCGTAGCTACCCCTGCCGGACCTGTCTCCAATGTGCGGCACATCGCTCCTAAAGTCAATATTGTGTCAGCAGCTGTTCCTAGTGGTCAGGCTGTTCAATTAACAACACCTACAATCCAGGTCAGGAACATTGCCCCTGCTGAGAAGACAGCTCAAGTGCCTCAACAGGTATACTTTGATTGTTAAACAAAGGGAAACTTTCCTGTCCTGTAATAAATGTAACAGTTTTAAAAACTATCAATATTCCTTGATCATAAGAAATCCAATAATGTTGGTTGGCTTTTCTGTCTAGAGTAAACCAGTTACAGCACCCACTGAATCATTTCACACTTGCCATCTACATGACTGTATGTTGATCAAGAATGGACATCCATCCAAAACCAGAGTTCACACACTTTTCTTTGAAGCCTACACCATTTGCTTTCTTGTTGTATTCTTTAGCTGGCACCAAAGCCTGTCCAAGCTCAAGCATCAAGTGGAGCTCCGCAGCCAAGACTTATTGTGCCAGCATTGCCTTCTAGCTTACCACAAATGACTGGTGCAGGGGCCACGGGGAACATTCAATTTCCCCATGGTGTAATAAGTGGAGGGGTGGTCTATCTTCCTCAGGTTAGTGATGTTGGCAAGAAAGCTAGAACCGTGCTAGGGATCATTATTCTGGTTTAGAGGTGCATAATCCTTTGTTAAACTGCTGTTGGATTTTTTAAATTCATCTTTCAGCAAGCTCTGACCTCTGGGGGTTTTCCTATCGCAGTACCATTGCAGGCGAATGCATTAAATACAGGACCACAAGGAGGAATGACTGTTAATGGGTAAGGGCATTCAGCTTAGCACAGTTATAAGTAAATTTGCACCTGAAGTTGCTTTGCAAGGTTACTAAATGTCATGTTGCAAAGTGTATGAAAGGCATATTTGATTCCCACAAAAGAACATCCATGATCCAAGCCCAAAATTTATGCTAGGGACAATGAAGATAATTTATCATTTGAAGTTAGACTGTGGAAAACAACCAATTACAGCCTTCACTTACAATAATTATTATACTAAGCAGATTATTTTCCTTTGTTGCAGACAAAGAAACCCAAAAAATAAATAAATAAATAAATAAATAAATAAACTGGCTTTTATCAAAACACAAGCAGTGATTGAAGCATTCATTGACCTGCTGTTCCAACGATAGTGGCAGTATCAAATGGTTTACAATATATAACCTTTTTTCTTTAGGAGTTCTCCTGAATCCTCACCACCAAACAGACCTCGCAAGCCCTGTAACTGCACCAAATCACAGTGTCTTAAACTGTAAGTTAAGCTCTTTCACATCTAAGTGACATAAAATAGAAACTGCTAAAATAACACATTGTATAGATACAACAATGTGTAACAAGACCTTCGCACATCTCATTTACCTATCTGTGGAGTTTGTTGGCTTGTAGTATGTACATGGGGCACTTTCAGGGTTTCTTTTTAACCACAAATTCTGCAGCTTTAGGAATGGGGGACAAATGGAACATATACTTAAAATTCCTGGGAACGTTTTCAGCAAATCTGATAATTGTATAATTCCAAAATGTAAATCTTTTACCTAGAAATGAGTATATACTATAATGATTATATAAATTATTGTAATCGCTACTTGTATTACTCACAGGTACTGTGACTGTTTTGCCAATGGTGAATTTTGTAGCAATTGTAATTGTGTCAATTGTTCTAATAACATGGAGCATGAAAAGGAGAGGAGCAAGGCAATCAAGGTATGAACTGTACAAAGAACAGCTAAATAAGAATAGGGGCATCTTTCTGGTGGTCAAAAATGTACAAAAAATTCCTAGATTAAGTCTTTGAAAAGTCCTTACACTTTTGGTGTAAAAACAGATGTAAACCCTGCATCCACTCTTTTATTTGATGCACCAGTTTTTTGTTGTTGTTGTTGGTTTGTTTTGTCTTCTTGTTGCTCTTGATTTGTGAAGACCATTGAAAGGTACTATATTTACATGTATGAACCTGAAGTGTATTAAACTTATCTCACAATAATTTTTGTTATATATTTTCAGGCTTGTTTGGAGAGAAATCCTCAAGCTTTTCACCCAAAAATTGGAAAAGGAAAAGTAAGACCTTTGTTTGTCATGTTTTAACTGGTATGTTAATGTTACAAGCACTGTATGCATCTTACAATGGATTTTAATGACACTCTAAGAATTGTGTCCTACATGTTACTACTATAATACATGGGTCACACTTGTGGCTGGCACATGCCTCCCCAACTAAATTACAGTGAAAGCTCATGGATTACATAAGAACCTGGATTTAAAGAACTTGCCCAGTGAAGTTTCTCCATTAAGATACCCTACACTTAGGAACCTGTCAGACTTGGTCAATAACCAAGTGTGAGGTTATGCTGGCTGGATATTAGCCAAGTTTTATTTTGCTTGTTTAGGAATGGAGACGGAGTTGAGGTCCATGATAATGCAAAATAGAACAAGGCCAATATCCAGCCATCTTGACCTAACAAGCTTGGAAAATAAAGGATTTCTTATATGGCTTTCAGGGAAATTTTTCTTGTGGGACACAGCAGGTAGTCTTGAGTAGGCAAGGTGGTGAAATCTTGCATGCTGGGGTAGCCAATCATGGTGCATGACTTGGTTCATCTTGCCCACTCATGGAGCTAGCAATATGATAAATTTATATGTACCGTATTTACCCGTGTATTAGTCGATCCCGTGTATAAGTCGACCCCAATTTTTGAGGCCAAAAACTAGATTTTCTTAATTTCCAGGTAAGAATTTCTTGGAAAACTTATCTTGTATTTCTTAAAATTATCTTTCAGCTAC